TGACTCGTTCATTTATGATGCACTTGCACAAAATGTCTTTACCACAAATTCCCCCTTCCCCCCTTGTTTTTTTGTCTTATAAAACCTTCGGTTTAGGTAGAAATGAATTCCCACCACCCAGTATCTCACCTCAGCATTGTATTATATTCTCTCATTTCCCCAGGACAGCCGGCCCTTTCCCCAGCCAGCATCGTGGACATCAGGTCTGACCTCATACCAACAGCAGTCCTGAGACAACAATACAAAAACCTGCGACCTCTGATGTTGTAGTCTTCCGTCAAACCGACGTCGGTCCGCCTAATCTGTCGATCAACAAGCACCTTCTTCCTTCCACTGCTACATCAAATTTGTCCCGGGGACATCAGCCGTCGCTCCGCGTCCCCCGTGCCGGCCTGCTTCACACCTGTCCTAGTCGGTGGGCGGCGGTTGACGGATTTACTGGCCCAGGAGACTGTCTCACATCACGGTGAAGGGAGCGTGTGGCCTTGACATAGAAACTAGTGCAGGTTGAAGAAGAATTCTGTCTTTTCTTTTGCTGGCGTTGAAGAAAAAAAGGAAGCTGTATAACACGCCAAAAAAAAAAAAAAAACAAAGAAAAATAAAACATTGTATCACATTTGTTTCGCTTCAGGACAGTGAGATGGCTTAATTCAGAATGTAGCCGTACTTAAAACTGGGTTAAATAGCTAACAGTGCATTTGCCCGTGTGATATATGGGCATTGGTAAAGGATCCAAACACTCGAAGACTTAAACGCTCTTATTTATTTGCGTTACACTTTTCCGAGAATTTCTCAAGATGAAGCAGCTAAATCTTGCCCTGAGCTTGACAATTGGTCTTCTTTTTATCGTCGATATAGTCCCAATCTCCTTCGCATTGAAAGGGTGTTCTTTCAGACATCGAGGCTGTACTTACAACATCCAACTCAACCACAAAGACCACGAGATTGAGTCTCGGAATGAAGGATGCCGGGAAAAGAACGAGGAGATCACACTAGACCGCGCTCAGAACGATTACACAGCCAAGATTGACGACATGGAGAAGAACTTCTCTTTTCTCAGAGATGCCCATGAACAAAGGATCAAGGTAACCAAGCCTGTCTGTCTGTCTGTTTGTATGTTTTTTTTGTTCAATATCGTCTGGCTACCGGTTGACCTACTTTCTATCATTTTCAGTCGAACTGTCGAAGGAAGTTACAATTGTATAGACAATATCTTTTCCTGTCTTTCATTTTCATAAAATAATAATAATAATAGATAGCATTTGTATAGCGCATATCCCCGCTTAACAGCAGGCTCTATGCGCTTTACACTATATTATTACCCCAGCAGACCATAGAACACTTCGGAACATTCTCAGCTTCCCGGGAAGCATACA